GAAAGACTATGCGGCAACCATTTGCACTTCAGGATTCTGATATCTGGGACGAGGTCGATTAGCGAACAATAAATCACGAGAATAATAATAACCTCTATTAACCCAGTGACCGTAAACAGAAAAAACAGCAGCTTCTGATAAATGGCGAATCTGTAAAAAAATCCACAGTTTTCCCTGCGCAAAACTAGACTTCAAAATCATCAATGAGATCCAAAAATGAACAGATATAGAACAGACAGCACTTCAATAATTAAATCGATACTGTGTATTTCGCTACTAATATAGGAAGTGCCTGACTCGGAAAACACTTAGATGTACTAACTTCGCGATCTCTAAATGGACGCTGTTTAAGCAGATCTCGGTCGACCAGGACTTTAAGGTTTTTGATATTGGTAAGTCTTATGAAGAAACGAGCAAGATGAATACTTCTCCGCCAAATACGGCGAAAGTCTCGTTTCTTAACCGCTTCTGCCGCTATTTCCTAAACAGTTTTGATTTAGACCACAGTATGAAATTTGCAGGAAAATGTTAACAAAAAGCGTGTGCTGTACAATGAAAGCTAACCTTAGATACTCCAACCATCCAAGGGTGCTGCAAACACTGCAGCGCGTTAAAGCGTTTGCTAACATCTACTACAAATATATTCTTTATCTGAAAAGCCACAGGTAGAGTTAAAAGCGTAGAAAATCCAAAAATAATTTGCAGCTTCATTAAAAAGTTACAACTAATTCCTAAAAATTTCAGGACAGTACCAAAGAAAATCCTTAAAACAAGAAATTCCGTGTCCCATTAGTATACGAATGTTTATTTATTAGCCAGTTTTAGTTTAAAAACAACTAAAGGCCAAAAAATAAAGTGGGAAAGGGCAGAAGGCCATGCAGAAAATTCCAACAACGTTCGGAAATTTCGGTAAAATAAAAAAAGCTAAATTGCAACTTTTAAACTCACCAAAATTAAAAAAAATTTTTCTCAGTTACCCTCAGCTAATTACAAACTAAATGACCCAACCAAATAGATCCTCGAGAAAAAAAGCAGCATTTCACTTTATTACTTTACTCTATTCCCTTATATCCTTCCATTTAATCCAAATCTGAGGTAACAATCGTTCTGCAGAGAACATTTCACTAAAAAAGAACTCGAAACAGGAATAGCTAAGATTTCTAAAAAAAAAAACTAAGCGATTTCCCTCAAACAGGTTTGAAAAAGTCTTCTACGACTCAAAATAACCAAACTATGGTGATAATAAGTACTGACAATATAAAAAAATAATAATAGCAACAAAACAAAAAAAAAAAAAAAAAAAA